TTAAAATTAAAATTTTTACTAAGTACGTGAAAATTACGGCAATGTTCAAATTATCTTAGACAGAAATTCATGAAAAATTTTAATTTTAAATCAAAGATTTGAAAATTTAATTCAATATTCCTTTTAAAGTTATAAGTTTCTCTATTGATAATAAAGGTGTCATTAAAAAAAAAGTCCACCGGAAAGTCAAATATTTTAATAAGTATTAATAATAAYAAGTAATAATAATCTATAATATATCCTAGACAGATAAACTGTCTCCACTCAGAATCGTTTTTCGTATACAATGATATCATATCATTGGCTTCAAATTTAATTCCATCCATTACAGTAACCCACTTGTAACCTGCTGTACAGCAGAACGATATCCACTTTCTAATTTTTTTTTTGTGAGGACTTGTTTTTTGAAAAATGTTCGATATATTTCGAATTTGAAGGTTTATCAGAGCTTTCAAATTAAATATGATTAAGTAAACTTCAATGCAGAAGTGTAGTTGTTGTTACGCCGTTATTAAATACTTATTTGGAATATTATATATAGCCATGTCTTGTATAACATATATGTAGGTATTAGAAGGATACAACAGTAAAAGTTAAATTTTGCTGTGGCTATGTTGTACAGTAGGTTCCAAGTGAATCAATGAATTGGTATCAAATTTGAATTTAATGATTAATTATTGTATAATTGTTATATTTGGAAAATTTTATTAAGTATAGGAATTATTAAAATAAACTATGGTTTCCAGAAATAGATTTTGTCAAAAATCAATTTTGTATAAAAGTTCTCGGTTTTCCTTATTTTTTTTATGTATTTTTACCAGCGCTTTTAAAAACTACTGGAAATTTAACTTCCCCAACGCATCAACTAGATTCACTTTCCTACCGGAAAAACAGCTGAAGTTGAAAATTGAAGCATTATTTCGACTATTTATCATGTACACACACAACAAAAAACACATACCTACATCACTATTAAATYAATACATTCTTTGCTCTGCTCAAAATTTAAAATGTTAAAAAAATATATGCATTAGATATATATTATGATTAATTCATTATTCATATATTAGTTTTTTTTTATTTTCTCATTATCTGCCCTCCGGGTTACATAATAGATTCAGTAAGTAACTATGTAAGTAATGTTGATTTCATAAATGTATGACAAAATGTTCCTTGCAAAAAGGATATACATATTACATATGTCACATTCAATTATTTTGTTTTTTTTTTTAATTTAGCCTTGAACTTACGTTTATATTTTCGATATAAATTAATAATACATATTTAGAATTATGTTCATAAATATTGCAATTTTATTTACTTTCTTTCTTCCAGTACAATACATTTACAAAATATTAAATTATGTTTATAATWATTATTAATTTTTATGAGTTTAAATTAAATTTATAATAAACATGTTGTTAAAAATATTCAGACGGAATCCAGTGACAGGATGCTGAACATTTGTCTCATTTCGTTTGCCTCGGTATAGTAAACCTATATAATTTTAATGTATTATCATAAATTTGAAAAACCAAATGATTAATCATCGCTTTCTGCACTCTATGACTCTGAGCAGATCTCAGTTTACTGTAAAATTTATGTCATTATCCAAATTTTAAGTGTTCATAAAAAGTTACGAATAACAGAAATAACAATAACGATACAAAAAGTTCCAATCTGTGTCATATTTCCAATCGATAGAAGGTTGTATGAAACTTGAAGACCATATACTATTATTACCCAAAAGTGTAATTATTTAGACAAAACAAAAGAAAAACTTAAAAAAACACATTGAATAATATAATATTCATAAATAAGAGTACTTAAACGACTATCTACAATCCTAGCCTAAACTGAAAGGACGAAAGCACTATAAATCGCYTAAGAATTAGACACAGTATATGATAACTCATGGATTTCTCATGTCAAAAAATGAACCGACCATCTGATGTGAGTTTTGAGGTACACAAATCATAGTCAAAACACATTATAACAATATGTTATCTCTAGATGTAATCCAAAAGACCAAACCCGGATTAAAACTTAGACATTTTTAAATTTTTAAAACTAATCAACCTTATAATATAGATAAAATATAATCGTAACAATTGTTAAATTAATGTAAAATTATGTAAACTTCACAATAATTGTAAATAGTAATTAAGGCTCTTAATTAATAGCCTTTGCTGCCGAGTTTTATTTTAAGAACAATAAAAAAAAAAAATCAATTATCTAGAAATTCTTTTGATTATTTCTATTAATTGTGACAACGACTGTAAAATTTTAGACTATCTTTAAAACAAACACATCTTTTGGTTTGACAAGCACTTTTACACGAATAACTTAAAAATCCCTGACCTCCAGATAGAATTTGGACAGTTTTATGCAAGGTTAATTATTTTTGTTTTTCAACTTGTTTAGCTAAAATACAATTCATTTTCCTGCTCTGATAAATAAAAAATGTTTACAATACAGTTAATAAATTAATATGTTATAAATAAACTTTATTACTATACATAATTATTTAAGTTAAATTTATAAGGGTAGAATAAGTTGTTAAATTTTGTATTCAGCACTTACACAAAGTGGTCGTTCACTTTGTGAAATAAATTACACAATGCTAAATTTTAGTGACCATTTCATGAAAAAGTGACAATTTCGTGAAATATTTTTGAATTTCACAAAAAAACGTGTAAAAAACGTGTTTCCATTTCACGAAATGGTCATATTTTCATGAAAAGATTGATTTCAGGAAGTGGCTATGACATATTATACCTAGGTAGTTATTTTTTAATATAGATATTACATTTTTAATTTTAACGCAATTCAACTAATGATTATGCAAGTATTAAATACTCCYYAAAGCTCCAAATCATTGAATATAATTGAAAAATATAAATCTTTATGTGGGATGTAAGTTTATAAATCATAATTAATATAAATTGTGAACTAAATTATAATAAATAAGTTGAAATGTATTCTTATATGTTTGATAATAAGTAACATTGATAAATAATGATAATACTAATTAATAAAATATAAACTACTTTAGCTGCTTAATGGGAGACCATTCATCGTAACCTAAACATTCATCAACGGTATCTACCCAGAGAGTTTATTATTTTCTTTTGTAATTACAACTAATTAATCTCTTTTTTTTTGTAGAGGATGTTTTCAGAAATTGTAGTTAAAATAGAACATGTTACGAAAGGGTTATCTTATTATACAGCTTTTTGTTAGATATAATATTTAATTGGAAGTTTAATAGATTTATAGATATAGTGACCTAGTTATTGTCACAATAAGTGAAATGTGATAGTCATATATGATTTTGAGATAGATACGATATTAATATGTAATATGTATACATTTGTCACGTATGTGATATATATATATTTATATACATATGTGATATATTTGATCACAGAATGTAGGAATAATATAAACCTTAATATACACTTCATTGCTCGAGAGGTCTTATGTAGGTATGAACGTTTAACTGAGTATTTATTGCCGAGATATTTGAATCCTGAAGTACGACTATCAGACTTGGCATCAAGGGATAGGCGATATTGCGGCAAAATTTAATTTTTCCAAGTGCACTAATTTTGCTTAAGATTATTAATAAATAAATATCTAGACAGAATGTCTGTTCATGGATTTCGTAATAATATTATTATATTGTCAGTATAGAGCTAATTTTAGATTTCAAGACATGACGAAGTATACTATGGGTGAAGATCAGTGTTGATGTTATTTAGTTTGTATCCATACCCGGATTTAAATTTATTTTAATTTGCTAGTAAATGCCCCACACAGTAATTTAGTTTAAGTATGATTGCATTTTTCAGCGGTTTTATGGCGGACATTTTTGTTTAAGCTCAAATGGTCGTGTCATCACGTCGGCAAAATATAAAAAGTACGAGGTAAAGTGTTGATTGTCATCGTTGGTTATCTGTATTTTTAGCGTACAATAGTTATTAAGAACGTAATTTTTGATGAATTCGGAATTGGACGACAGGGATAAAGTATTTGGTTATAATTGATACATATAGTTACATACAATTTAAAAAAAAAGATTTATTTTCGATGAATGATTTTGCAATTAGATTAAACAAAAAAGTACAAAACGTTTCAGTTTAATAGATAAGGTGATGCAATGCAGCTGTTGTAGTGCTTTATATCAATCAATAGATAGACAAAATATAATACATGATGGCAGGACATTTTTTTTTTTTTGCATGACAGGCATTTTAACAGTTATTTAATGGATTCGATTAATTAAATTTATGTTATCAATGCAATTACAATAAGACACAGTGGATAGCATTTGTGTTTGGCGGACTGATAATTAAATACAGAAAATTACACGATCCCGTACACACTACGTACACCTATATTATAGTGTCGTGTGCGCCAAATTTAAAAAGGCGTTTTTCAGTCGGTAGGCAGTGTTTARCTTGGAGAACATGCGCGACACCCCTATGAGATTCCGCGCCTGTTTGGTGCTTATAAAACGTCTCATCCACTCATTTTGTTTTACTTTTACACTAAACTCGGCCGCCGACTATTCATAAAAGGTACGTACACTTCACAATTATATAAGTTATAATAGAGCTATTAGTATGATGATGAATACGCATTAAGTAGATATACAATTTAATAACTCGATATTATTGTAATTTATTAATAGTTTATATTTGTGTTAATTTTTACACGTAATATCTATATGGAAAATATTATATTTTCAATTTTAGTTAGYATTAAACACAAAAAAAAATATATTAAATATCTGATAGTGGCATCAATAATGATCGATATTAATCATATTCATGAGTTTTAAATATTGTATAATCTCATTTCTGTTAATTAATAATCATTAATTTTTCCTAACCGTTGTATAATTATATACTACTTAGTTAATAAATTGATTAAACCCATACAGGCTGTATGTGTTCACTTATTAATTATTTAGCARATTACGAATTACGATTATGCTTATTAATTTTTAACACTGAAACTCGGTGTCTTTTATGAAATAAGTTTTCGGTACGATAAAAAAAAAAAACATATAAATAAGACACTATTAATATACCTATACAAAACAGATAACAGCTAGCCTATGTATATCAGCTATCCTGTATTGTGTAAACGAATAAGGGCCCGTATTACAATAGTTGAACTCAGGTTAAACCACTGAATTCGGCCGGTAAAATCAGTGGTTCAAGCGTAACCGACGTTTAAACTATGATTGTAAAACAGGCCCTTAGTCAGTTTTCCATATTTCAGTATCTGTAATACTGTTATTTAGTAGAATTATAAGAATCATGGTTTTAAATTTTTAATAAATACCAATATCTTTTTGACATTTCATGTTATAATCTTGMTTAAAGAATAAAAAAATCTCGTCTCTGGCTCTGAGGTAACATATATAAAGTCGTAGATAAACCGTAGGAGTATTTCCTATAAATTACAGTATAAACTTTTTTTAGTGTAGATAGTTGTCTGATAACGATCCTAAATAAACTCTTTCTTTGTATGAATATCATGTAATAATATCATCGAGTTAGAAACAACTTAATAAATTCATTGTCTGTATTGACTTATGAATAAACATTACAGCTTTATGTGAAATTTATATTTCAATGATTTCTTGAAATTATTTATTATTATTGTTGTTGTTACTATTCAATTATCTTTATCATCAATTATTCCATACATTAAAATGTACCTATTCATCTGTACACGTTTAGTATTCACATATTATGTTGTTCAAATTTAAAATGGAAATGCTGTTTTTAAAACCGTACAATATAAATTATTAATGAATAGTTCATTTTTTCATTTTATTTACATTATTATTTTACTTTACTGATAATTTAATCAATAGGTTGGTACGGAAAAACATCAACATTATTCAAAATCTAGTACCTAGGTACTTAATGGTTAGTGGCAGTATTGTGATGGACATTTTCCACCTTTTCATGGTTTTTGAACAGAAAAAAAATGGTACTTAATGGTTATCATATAAAAATATCAATAAAATTGTATACATTACAGGACACAAAAACTGTACCTACATTAACGCTTAAATCCTAATTTATCTCTTACCTATAATACATCCTTCACATTTCTATCCACAGCTCACAAAATACAGAAACCTGATAGGATTAAACTAAACTAAATATTCTATACTTTAATGATTGCCTAGTGTTTTCTTTTTAGTACTTAAGATATGTCACTGATCATAAATATGTACCTACTGATTATAATTATTCGTAAATTATAATTTATAAATATTCGTAAACTGCCACAAGTAATTGATGAAACAAAAAAAAACTAACAAACTTACTAAACAATAAATGTGTATAATATAGATACTTATTAAATATTGATCTCTAAAAAAGTAGGTATCTATATGACTATATATCTACAGGTAGAGACATGCTCATATTTATTTTTGATAATATTATTATATAAGACAGCTCTTGAAATTAGATTATTACAAATTGTTTTTATGTTTTACTTGATACTGGACGGCAAACTTCTTCGAAATTCTCTTTCCGATTTTTAACGATGACACGCTTTGTTAGAGTAACGAGAGTTTATGCCGGTTTATTTTTCGAAAATGTGTAGAAAATAGTTTTTGTTATGATGGAAACTATAATTGACGGTCTCGGGTCCCTATCCTATAAACGTATTAGTGTATCCAGCGGCTATAGACATTTGTTGAACATCGTATGCTCGATACAATATACCTTGGGGAACTTATTTGTATTAGTCTCAAAATACCGTACATGCATGTATACCACCTACATATTTCATCTCGCTCTAAATTTGTACCCTTCAAAATAATTTTCATCTATTCCATCAAAGGTAGCGTCACGATAAAACAAAAAATTTAAAGAACTATTACTCGGATATACTGATATAAGGTGTTTAAAATATATTATAATATAGGTAATACTAGGGAAATTTGTATTCATAGGATTTATGGAAATTTTTTGCATAGCTTTTGAGCAGAAAGAACATACCACATGTATATGTTCACATTCATTTTGGTTAGGTAGTCTTTCATCATTTCTGAAAAAAATAAATTCTCGCAAAAATTTCTTATAGCCTTTGTATACACTGGAAAATTATTAATTAACTATATAATTCATAAAGTTATAATTGTCATGCYAAATGTTATGAATAACTTTAATTAATATCGTTTAAAAACATATCGAATTTAAAAATAATTGACAATATTATTGCATATATATTTTGCCATTTTGGTAGCTATATTTAAAAATAAATTCAATCAAAAATACACTATAGACAATATATTATATGAAATGTCACARATTTTTTCACCATTAAATCCACCTCTGAATTATTTCAGGATTTATTTACATTTTTTAAAGAATATGTGATAAAAAAATATTCTTTTGAGTTGAATTACAAGAATAAAAACAAAAATATAATTACATTAAATTTGATAGCCGTCACAGAATAAATTAAAAAAAATTACTTGTGTAAAAAAGTTGGCGTTAAGTTACATACTAAAAAATGTGGGTACTAGTGTTGCATATTATACCTTATAATTAGTTGTTTTAATAGAGATTTTATACATGAAGTTTTCAATTAATAATACAAATGTATTAAAAATATAATTTTTAAAACAATAAACTTTGTCGTAATGATTTAATTTATCTATTTCTATTTCTTTTAACAATATTTTGATAGTTTATAGTTAATAATTAATTATAGTTTTATTCTCACATATTAGGAAAATGTATGGTAAACTTTTACAGGGATCAATTATTATACCTACGCACCTAGTTTATTATTTACATTTGTTATTTATATAATTATTCTTCTTCTTTGATCATATTAAATGCCATTAAGATCAACCTCCGCAACAAAACTGTAACTCCAGTTTAGTTCACTATATTGTCTACTATTTTATTTTATTTCAACAACAGCAAAAAAAAGTTTTTAAATAATAGGCAGCATTTTATTTTTATTTCTTATCAATTATTCAACTTGATCAAATACAATAAATTATAAGAAGATTTTATTCTTAAACCAAAATAAGCAATTATACTAATTTGTATAAGAAATTGGAAACTTTTTGTTTGAAACAAGACCTTTATAGTAAAACAAGTCGGTAGGTAACATTTTAATGACCTAAAAAAACTCCATTCAACTGTTTGTTAAATTAAAAATAAAATTTAAAAATCAACTATCAAATTTCATTTTAATAATGTTTTGTATGCATGTTTTATATAATACTTAAACTATCTTTTTTATTCAAACAATTAGGTTGATATTTTTAACAACTATTCTTTTGAACTTTAAATCAGTTATAGTATCATTTATTTACAATAATATAACATTTATAACATTTTATTTCATATAGTTGAGTTTTCAAAAGAAGTACTTACATAAAATAAATATATGTTACAAATAATCAAAAATGTAATTTATCGAAATATGAACATAGAATATTAATATTGTGCAGTCTATTGTTGTTCATAGATATGTTTGGCCGTTTGTGTACCTAAGTTTTGCATCAAAAAAGTTCATATTTAAATAWTTTTTTCAAATKAACTATTTTAAAGTTTAAATATCCAAATAGATTTTGGAATACTTAGAACACATAAGCACAACAATATTTTACATTGTGATATTGAAACTAAAATAACTTTGATCTATATATAAAATATAATTTTGTGAGTCATACAAAATACACTTAAAATAAGAACGAAATTAAAAATAACCTAAATCAACTACGTTTTTAATTTAAATAATAATAACCACCTATATTTATACATGTTATTGATATACTATTAGCACTTACGTCGAATAACAAATTAAAAATATTAATGGATACTTTATAAGGAAAAATATTTTGCATAAATCTATTTGTTTCATTAATTGTAACAATATGTGATGCTAATATACAGTATAGTATAATATATGGATGCTACATGTTCATATTTCACTAGCCAAACACGAATGTCTAACACCAAATTACCTAATTTTTTAACATTAAAGTATATAAATTAAAACAAAATCAAATCAGGATATTATTATTATATCTATACGATTCACCATCGTATCGTATGTCCAATATGTCCGTATAATTGCGCCGAATTAACTATATAATAGTATGTATAGAATAATTGTTTTCCACCATTATAAATTGGCAGAAAGTCAGTAAGTGCTAAAACACAATAAACATTTTTAACTATTTTATTTTTTACAAAGAATCAATAAAAATATTGATTGCGGACGAGTGTACGTCAAACAATAATTAATACCTTTGTCACACTGGCACACGCACGTAATGCTAAAAAATCACGCTTCTTGAAACCAAAACATTTATATAACAGTTTCATATTACATTATAGATCACATAAATCTATATAAATCCCGTTCTTCGAACAGTCGATTTGTTTGACGATTAAAGGTCGATTCGCAATAAAATGTTTTCACTGCAATATATACCGTCATTGATCAATCGAGTTCGTAATCTAGACGGACAGAACTAGCCAACTAGGTATAAAAAAAAAAAATTAAAAAAAAAAAAATA